GCAGTCAGCCTCACACTCGCCAGAACCACAAGCAGGTGTGTCGTCTGCCCAGGCGAGGAAGGTCACGCCAAGGGAAGGGGTCCACAAAGGGGGTGCGGGGCCGGGGCGGGGAGCAGCACAGTCAGAGGAGGCCGGGCGGCCAGGAGAAGCGGGCATCTCAGGGTCAGAGGGCAGAGGCCGCGGGAGCACCAGCAGCGCTGAGGCGGGGACACACCGCGGCCTCCACCACCTGCGAGGGCCCCGCGGACTCAGCAGAGCGAGCCGGGAACTGGGAGGGGGGCAGACGGGAGAGGGAGGGTCCCTCGGGAGACGAGCTGCAGGCCAGAGTGCCCCCCCACCCAGAGCAGGCGGGGTGGGAGCGGGCAGAGAAGGCCTCTGACCACCCGGGGTGGGGAGGACTCCCGCCTCTGAACCTGCTTCACCCCCAACCTCCTCCGCTTTCCCAGGGGCGTGAGTTGTGTAGATGGTAAACAGTCCACGGCTGAACGCTTCTGCCTCATGCTCCTGGCCCTTTAGGCCTGCGGGTCTGATCACACTAGACACACCCAGCAGGAAGGTCCCTGCCCACCCCCTCCCCCCCCAAACCAAAGCCGGCTTCCCAGGCGGAGGCCAGGCCACACAGACGGCCAGGAACGCATGGGCGCAGAACTCACAGGAGGCTCTCAGGGGCGTTTCTGAGCCGAGTGAGCAGAAAAGGACTCTGGGACAAAGGTTAGCGAATAAGAAGGACAGGTGGAGATGTCATGGGGTTAGCCTCCTTGCTGGCACACACCCTGGAAGCTGTCCTTACGGACCTGGGGGAGTGTGGGGCGAGGTCCCCAGGCGAGGAGCTGCAGGTGGCTGCTGGGAGGCCCAGGTGAGCTGTCGGGGCCGTGGGCCACCGCTGGGACGTGCAGGTGACCGCTGGGAGCGGAGGGTGGCCTCCAGCTGGCGCCAGCACAGGGCCAAGCCAGCGACCCTTCCTCCACTTGGGGAGGAATTCTGCCCACTCCCTGGGGTGCTTGGAAGTGGACTCTCCCCACCATCGGGCATCTGGTGGGAAGACAGCCCCTCCAGTCTTTGTGGAGGCTCCACACGACACTAGCAGAACCAGCTCAGACTCTCGCGGGCCTGTGGCCCAGGCTCCTGAGCCATGGACAAGGAGCCATCACTGTGTGTGGTCAGACACCTCTCACTGTCTGCTAATCGTTACACAGTGAGAGTGCCAGGGTTCTCCGGAGAAACGGAGCAAGGGGAGAGACAGAGGGGGACGGAGAGCCCTGGAGACAGGACTGGCCCATCGGCGGCCCTCTGCCGGGTGAGCGGCCCCGGGCGCACGTATGTCTCTGCTCCTCTGGTCTGCCGTCCCAGGAGCTGCGCCCACCCCCGGCTTCCCGACGCCTCTGACACCTCCCTCCACCTCTCCGCCTTGACTCAGCTGTGCCCCCCCACCCCCCGTCAGGTCCAGCGACCCCCGCACCCTGCCCCCTGCCAGTCCGCATGGCCCTGTCCCTCATCAGCCACCCCTCAGTTAATAGTCACTCTTTATTCCCACCGCTCCTCTGCAGGCCGGCTCCCGGGGGTCAGCCCTGGGGGGCCGGGGCACCAACCCTCCAGCAGTGCTAACAGCGACCCTTCTGAGTACGGGGCTTCCTCACTGTGTCCCCACGCTCACACGGACTTTAACCCGGGGCCAGTGGACGGAGCCCGTGCTGGTGGAGCTGCCCCTGATCCGCCAAGAGGAGGGGTCTTGCCAGAACCCCCTCACCCCAACTCCTAGGGGACATCTGGAAGAGGGAATTACCCCCAAATCCACCTGCCAGAAACACATGCTGTCTGAATGTCCCAGCCAGCGTCGCAGGGCATGGCTGTGGTCAGAGGCCTGGACACTGGGGGCAGTCCCCGACGGGATGGCTCCTTCAGAGCAGGGCTCTGCATCCTGTGCCTGGGCTCAGGGCCCCAAATCTTGGGGCCCAGCGGGTGTTCTTCTTGCACCGTCGGGGTCCCTGCGGTGGGGTCTTGGAGTCAGACCTGCACAACTTGATCCGCAGGTTCCCAGTGGCTGACTCAGCTGTGGGCCAGGCCGACACGCCCTTGCTGGGGCCCAGCCCCTTGGATAGCCCCTGGGTGGGGCAGTGTCCCGCAGGCAAGGCTGGGAACCCCACGGGAACCCAGCCTGGGGAGCCGAGCTGCAGCCTGGGCCCCCGTCCGGCAGGGCGGGGACTCAGCTGCAAGGTCTCTGGGCGTCACAGCCTGCGCTCATGTGCACCTTCGCTCAGCGGCATTGTGCCATCTTGGAGCCGGTGCTCAGTATGTGTTTGTGGGATGAGTCGCCATGACAACAGCCAAGGATGCAGCTCTCAGAGGTGTTTGTGTCCTTCTCAGTCTCCGACCTCAGGCAGGAGGATGTAGCAAGCAAAGCAGCTGCCAGGCCCCCACCTGAAAGGCTGTCCACCCAAAGTGCCTTTCCTCGCGGTCTGAGCAAACGTGTCCTGGACAGACTGCAGCACCAGCCCCTTCGGTGGACAGGAGCCGCAGAGACCCTGGTGGGAGCCACCCAAGGCTCGGCGCTCCCCTCTGAGCACGTGCTTAGAGCCTGAAGCCCTGCTGACTGATTGCTCACGCTCTACTGATAAGGAGCTGCCCGCCTTAGCCTGGCACCCCAAGCACAGGCCTGTCCTCGGGAGCATGGCAGCCTGCTGGACTGGCCTTCCTTTTCTAACTGAAGCAGGGCTCTTCCACCCCAGGCAAGGGTGGAGAGGAGCAGCCCGGAGCCGCGGGCCTGGCCTCCTTCACCTGCATCCCTCGGGTCAGGGCACTGCTGGGGAACCAGACCAAGAAAGCCGTCCGTGTGGGCTACACACGCGTGAGAGAAGTGGAGCGCGCATGCCCACACCCTCCTGCGAGTCTGGGCCCCACGCAGTCACCGAGCAGCGGTCCTGCCAGGACACGGGCTCATCGGAGACGCTGCCGTGAAGGCGGCCATCCTGACGCTCCCTTCAGCTCAGCACCCCCCGGGTGCTGAAGCAGGAGCCCTTCATTCGCCTCCCACACAGCTGTCCCAGATGGAGAGATGATGTAACAGAAGCAAAGAAGGACCAGGGAGGGAAGGAGAGCCCAGAACAGGAGCTGGAAACACAGGCGCGGCATCCTGGGAAATTCCCGCTGAGGTCACCTTCTCTGGCAAGGTGTCTCCATAGCAACGGGGCCGCCTGGCGTGGCAGGGGCTTGGGTTGAGGGGAACCTGCCCCCCAGAGTCCTCCCTCCGCCTCCCGTGGACTCTGTGCTCACGGACGCCTTCTAAACGGCCAGACCATCCAGGTGTCCGGACACCACGGGCTGGCAGAAGTCAGACGCGGGGCGCGGTTTCCACCTGGACCGGTGCTCAGCACCTGCGCTCCTTCAGTGACGCGCACACACGTCCGCACAGACGCACCCGCCTGCCCTGAGCCGACGGGCTGAGCGGAGGGGAACGCAGCGGGCACAGTGCCTCGTCCCTTACTCTCTCCCCCCGGGGAAAAGCAAAGCTGCCTCACCCACCTTTGTGGGTCTGGGCTACCTCTGCAATCCAGTTCACTTCCCCGCCACTGTTCTGCCTAGACTCCCGGGGGTTCCAAAGCAGGAGGACGTCCTCTTGGACAGATTCAGCCAACGGTTCAGCGTTTGTGAAACTTTGTGCAAAATGACTGGTTCTGAGAACCATCCATCACCCAAGCCATCGGCACCGTAGGTGGAGACGCCTCGTCTGCCTGGGATGTCCACTCTCAGGCGGGATAAAGCTGGAGTGAGACGGCAGAACCTTCCGCCCAGGACCGCGGCTGCGTGAAGCGCCTCACAGGGCGGCTCCCTCGTCGCGCCGCGGTGTTCCTTGAGCCGCTCCACGGCGGCGGGCACCGCTGCATACTCTGCAGTCACGCCAGCTTCTGCAGGGACGCAGCTCTGCCCGGAGCGCCCCCCACGGTCTGCCGAGCCCCTGACCCCAGCCTGTGCTTCCAGCCCCACACCCAGCGGTGGTGCGCGGCTCTGTCGTCCGCCCGCCGCACTGGGAGCCAGGACAGAACAGGCGTGGTCCCCTGGGCTGGGGTCCCTGGCCAGTTTCAGCACCCGATTTTTAAGTGAGCTGCAGATGACGGTGCTCAGCACGCGGTCTCTGGTTTCTGAATCTCTCTCTTCACTTCCCTGTGCTGGGCTTAGTCGCTCAGTCGTGTCCAACTCTGTGCGACCCCGTGGACTGTAGTCCGCCAGGCGCCTCTGTCCATGGGATTCTTCAGGCAAGAACACTGGAGTGGGTTGCCATGCCCTCCGCCAGGGGATCTTCCCAACCAAGGGATCAAACCCAGGTCTCCTGCATTGCAGGTAGATTCTTTACCGTCTGAGCCACCACTCAGAACTAATTAAGAATTTCTTTCCTTAGATTCAAAGTCTCCTAGGGTTATAGAATCCCATCTGTACAGGTAAGAAGTTTTGGGCAAATAACTTTGCATTTTTCTAAACGCACTTTTTTCCAAGCGGTCAAATGCCCTTTAAGAGCTTCACTTCCTCCTTCTCAAAACATTGCTCTGCCTGGGCCAGGAGGAAAGAGCATCTTCCCACGTGACTGGGATGCAGCCCAGTGTCAGCGGCTGGGGTCAGCCTTGCCTGAGTGTCAAGTGGACCTGCAGCCACACTGGCCTTGACGAGGCAAGCAGGGCTGAGCCCTATTTGTCCTGAAGCCGAGTGGCTGGGCCCACAGCCATGGTGCAGCATCGGCAGTCGAGTTCAAGGGCACACGTCAGGCTGGAAGGACCAACGTGACCAGGTTTTCCTGTCCAAAGGGCCCAAGAGCATGTGGTGGGGCATGAGGGATCTGGTGGAGCCATCCCTATGGAAACTGTCCAGTGATGGGTTCCCGGGAGTGGGGACCAACCCTGGTGAGGGTCCCGTCCTCAAGGATGGGGCGTGGGAGAACCTGTCCAGGGGTCAGGGACACAGAGTCAGCAGTGGGGGCAAAGATTCAGTTCTGTGGTCTGAGGCTGAAGAGCATGTTCGAGGCGGGCGAACAGAGATGTAGCTGGGGTCCTGCCACCTCGGACGACAGGCCTGGAGCAGCGGGTGAGTTCCGTCCCCCAGGCTGGGGGCTGAGTCTCTGGTGCCCTCCTGCGTGCCGCAGACAGATGATGACCCTAAGAGAATGAAGGGAAGGCACGTGGGGCCATCACAGGACCCTTCAAAACCACCCCAGGATGCTCCTGGCCAGACCAGATTGCCTTAGAAAGAGAAACTTCTTCCTTCCTCGCCAATCAAGTTAAAAAGATGTAATAATACGAGTTGTTACTAATGAGAGTATAGTGATAAAGATATTCTTGAACACTCCATTAGAAGTCTAAATTTGAAATAAAATGATATTTCTGGAAAACGATGGGTGTCAAAGAACTCAGTGTTCATATCCTTTGGCTCACATTTGACAACTTTTCCTGGAATGCAAAGTCACATGGTCCTTAGGAAGCATCACTACGAACAAAGCTAGTGGAGGTGATGGAATTCCAGTTAAGCTATTTCAAATCCTAAAAGATGATGCTGGTAAAGTGCTGCACTCAATATGTCAGCAAATTTGGAAAACTCAGCAGTGGCCACAGGACTGCAAAAGGTCAGTTTTCATTCCAACCTCAAAGAAAGGCAATGCCAAAGAATGCTCAAACTACCGCACAATTGCACTCATCTCGCACGCTAGCAAAGTAATGCTCATAATTCTCCAAGTCAGGCTTCAACAGTACATCAATGGAGAACTTCCAGATGTTCAAGTTGGATTTAGAAAAGACAGAGGAACCAGAGATCAAATTCCCAACATCCTTTGGATCATCGGAAAAGTGAGAGAGTTCCAGAATAATATCTACTTCTGCTTTATTGACTATGCCAAAGCCTTTGACTGTGTGGATAACAACAATCTGTGGAAAATTCTTAAAGAGATGAGAATAACAGACCACCTGACCTGCCTCCTGAGAAATCTGTTTGCAGGTTAAGAAGCAACAGTTTGAACTGGACATGGAACAACAGATTGGGAAAGGAGTACGTCAAGGCTGTATATTGTCACCCTGCTTATTTAACTTATATGCAGAGTACATCACGAGAAACGCTGGGCTGGAAGAAGCACAAGCTGGAATCAAGATTGCCAGGAGAAATATCAATAACCTCAGATATGCAGATGATACCACCCTTAAGGCAAAAAGTGAAGAGGAACTAAAAAGCCTCTTGATGATAGTGAAAGAGGAGAGTGAAAAAGTTGGGTTAAAACTCAACATTCAGAGAACTAAGATCATGGCATCTGGTCCCATCATTTCATGGAAAATAGATGGGGAAACACTGGAAACAGTGTCAGACTTTATTTTTGGGGGCTCCAAAATCATTGCAGATGGTGACTGCAGCCATGAAATTAAAAGACGCTTGCTCCTTGGAAGACAAGCTATGACTAACTTAGACAGCATATTAAAAAGCAGAGACATTAGTTCACCAACAAAGTTCTATCTAGCCAAAGCTGTGGTTTTTCCAGTAGCCATGTATGGATGTGAGACTTGGACTATAGAGAAAGCTGAGTGCCAAAGAATTGATGCTTTTGAACTGTGGTGTTGGAGAAGACTCTTGAGAGTCCCTTGGACTGCAAGGAGATCCAACCAGTCCATCCTAAAGGAGATCAGTCCTGGGTGTTCATTGGAAGGACTGATGCTGAAACTGAAACTCTAGTACTTTGGCCACCTGATGCAAAGAGCTGACTCATTTAAAAAGACCCTGATGCTGGGAAAGATGGAAGGCGGGAGGAGAAGGGGATGACAGAGGGTGAGATGGCTGGATGGCATCACCGACATGATGAACATGAGTTTGAGTAAACTCCGGGTGTTGGTGATGGACAGGGAAGCCTGGCGTGCTGAAGTCCATGGGGTCACAAAGAGTCGGACATGGCTGAGTGACTGAACTGAACTGAACTGAACTGACAACTTTTTCAAATTATACAATCTAAACTGAGAGCGTCGATGTGTTACCAGGGTGCTTATTGCAGTGCTCCTCCGAGTTGTAAGAACAGAAACAAGGGTCCAGAATTGGAGAAACAGTTAATTAACTGACAGTACTCTCTGCCCTGACGCTGTCCTGTGGAGTGCAGACCCCCTGAACCCCCCTGGGATGTTCAGGGTTTGACGCAGACTGCAGTGCCTTCTGGGCTGCAGACACACGTGCGGGGAATGGGGAGAGCTCGACACACAGCCGCGCGCTGGCTCCTCACAGTGCGCGTGTGCCCGCGGCTCCTTGGACTGTGAGCGGGAAGGGGCGCCGGCGGCCGGGCTGTCCCCGTGTTGTTTCCCAGCCGGCTCGGTGCTCCGTGACTGCTTCAGACGCTCAGCAACACAGCGGGGCGCGGCCGAACACACCTCCCACGCTTGTGCGAGCACGCTCAGGCGTGTCCGCCTCTGTGCCTCCCCACGGACTGCAGCCCGCCAGGCTCCTCTGTCCACGGGATTCTCCAGGCAGGAATACTGGAGTGGGTTGCTGTTTCCTCCTCCAGGGGATCTTCTGACCCAGGGATGGAACCCGAGTCTCCTGCATTGGCAGGCGGGTCCTCTACCACTGAGCCAGCTGGGAGGTACCAAGTGCAGCTCAGAGGTTCCTAACTGTTTCCACCTAATTGTTTCCTGATTGTTTCGGGGCTTCCCTGGTAGCTCAGAAGGTAAAGAATCTGCCTACAATGCAGATCCCTGAGTCAGGACGATCCCCTGGAGAAGGGAATGGCAACCCACTCTGGTACTCTTGCTGGAGAATTCCACGGACAGACCATGGGGGTTGCCAAGAAACACCACTGAGCGATTCTCAGAAGCCCTCAAGGGTCTCCCTTCATCCCTGCCAACCAGCTCTGGCTTCAGGAACGTGCATGGAGTTTGCAGCCAGTGTTTCCAGCAGGGGCTCCTGCCCGGGGGCAGAGGAGCCTATACATGCTGCCCCCCGCAACCCAGGACGGAGCTGGTCCCTCTGGAGAAGGAGTGACTCAGGCCCCCTTTGCACAGAGAACCACACACACCAACTGGGGCTGATGCTCCTGTAAGGAAAACAGACACGATCAGGCAGATCCCCACTGAACGTGCTCATCTCTGTTATAAACTGGCTGCGGGGTGGCGATCCCCTCTGGAGAAAGGCAAGGGAACCCCGTCCAGGCGCTCTCCTCTCCTCCGGGGCGTCTCTCCAGGCCGGGGAGCCGGTCTGATGGGGAGTCGGGGAGAGCACAGCCCGAGGGTCTTCCTGCATGAGCTCCGCACCCAGAGAAGGGTCCACAAGCCCTGCAGGGACCCCCCCACTCTGCCCCCCCTCATCCCATGTTCTGAAAGGACACAGTTAAAACTAGGTGCAGCTGAAGCGAGTGTTTCTCTTTCCTTTTCCTTTTATTATTGCTTTTAGATTCCCCTTCTCAAAGCTGAGGCCCGTCAGTGAGATGAGAGTGGGACCTGTGATGGTGGGAAGGGACGCTGACCATGGGGAGACAGGACCCCGCCAGCCTGTTGCCCACCCACTGCGGTGCGGGGCCAGGAAGTGGATCTCAGGAGTGAGGGCGCTCAGACAGGACAGTGGGAGGCGGCCACCCTTGGGGAGAGTGCCCCCCGCCCCGCAGGACGGCTAGAGGGGAGCCTGCAGTGGCCGGGCCAGGTGGGGCAGCGTCCACCTCTGAGCAGGCAGGGAGCAGTGGGCTCAGTCACTGAGGGGGTCCCTTCAAGAAGCCAGCCCACCTTTCCTGCTAGAGAGCCGGTGCCCTCGGAGACTTGCCTCCACCCCACCACACACACACACGGTGCACAAGCAGGCTTGAGGCTAGAAGAGGCTACCCCGCCCCGCACCCCCCCAGGATGCAACCAGAACAGGCCCAGAGGTCCCCCCAGAGCGGGTGAGCAAGGGCTTCCTCTGCTGTTCCTCTCAGTCCCTTCTCCCGCCTTAGAGTGCATCCCTGGGTTGCCCTTAGATATGAAAAAGGACAGTTAATAGTTACTAGGGTGAGGCTTCTGTCTGCATTGTTAATGCCGCAGGGCTAGGACAGATTGCCCAAGACTTGCTGGAAACCTACCAATCCTGCAGACACCCCTAGAGGCTTCCTGAGTTATCTGATCCTTCTTCCTGGAAACAAAGGTGACCCCAGACGCCAGGCACTCGTGGACTCAGGGGGCCTCCCTGGGGACAGCAAGGGCCTGCCTGGCCAGGGCACAGCTGGGGGCCCTCTGACCCCAGGGAGCCCCCACCGTCTGCCTGCTGGACAGAGGCCACAGGGTCCCCCGGCAGAGAGTGCCCTCAGGGGGTCACAAGCACCCCGGGACCATGGGTCACAGCGTGCAGACACACGGAGGGTGGGGTGCTCCTATCTCTGCCACTGAGCAGATGCCTAAACGGGGGCCTCTCAGAGTCTGCCCCAAAGTCCGCTGCCGGGGAGGCGCTCGTCAGGTCCAAGGCGCGTGCTTCCTCATCCATAGATTAACATCAAAGGCATCTCCACTTTCCAATGTCATCTTTTCAGAGGAACATACTGTAGCTCATTCAGGAAAGAATCTGCCTATAATGCAGGAGACCTGGCTTCGATTCCTGGGTCGGGAAGATCCCCTGGAGAGGGGAATGGCAGCCCACTCCAGTGTTCTTGCCTGGAGAATCCCACGGACTGTGGCTTGCCAGGCTTCTCTGCCCGTGGGGTTGCAAGAGTCAGGCATGGCTTAGCGACTAAACCACCACCAGCAGCAAATACTGTGAGTATATTAGGGTCGATGACATTAACGAAAAGCCACTCTAAGATCGTAACCTCGCCCCCTTAAAGAAGGTGGGAAAATAAGGAAACAAGAGAGGCCCCCCTCTCTGCCTCTGCCCTGAACCCTCCTACCGACCACAACCAGCTCCAGTGAGGAGGCAGTGGGCCTGGAGGCGGCTGTGGGCTGAGCCGTCAGAATCTGACCCTCCACCAGAGGCTCTAGGACGTGGGGGCCTCTGGGCAACAGAGTTAAAAAACCCCCCCTGCCCTCCAGCAGGTGGGGAAATGCAGGCCCCTCGGGAGCTCTGGCTTGTTCTTTGGCCACCACAGGGCAGACGATCCGCTGGGTGGTCTCACCTGTAGGCAGGGTCTTGTCCCAACCACCTGCCCTCCCCCAAGAACCCCGGGGTGATGATGACGCAGCCCGCCTTACAGCCGGGAAACAGGCTCCCGGACGCCCTATTTCATGTCGCCCCAACCTCCGCCGCCACCAGGCTGACATCACATCGTCTCTGTCGGGGCCTCTCGACACACGAGCCACCGCTGGGCCGGATCTCGTCCTCAGAGCCAGCAGCCACCCTGCCCGTGGCCTCTGTCCTTGGTGCCAAACCCCGACCCTCGCTGGGACAGTCCCCACCTCAACCCAGCCTCCGGGGTCAGAGCTGGCTCTGGAGGAAGCGACAGAGAGCAGGCTGAGATAAGCCCCCCACGCCAGGGAGAGGCCGAGGGCGGAGGGTGGTCCCAGCAGGGAGACCCCGAGAGAGGAGGGCGGTCCCAGGTGCAGAAGCCGCGGCACGGTGCCCCGCCCCCCTCCGCCCGGCCCCTCCTCACTGGGAGTGGCGTCCAAGCAGTCTTCAGGGCTGGGACCCCCAGCAGCTGGAAGGGACCCCCTCCTAGGCGTCTGGGGAAGCACCTTTGACCTGCCGTCGGGGACCAGCTCTGAGATGAGGGTCCCTGCGCTCACGTCGCAGGGGTGGAAGCTGAGGGTGGCAACGCCCACCTCGGGCAGCTC